GGGTGGAGAGGCCGCAGAGAGCTTTGTTATAAAAGACACACATTGCTTGCACAGCAAAGAGGCGGCCATTGTCATGAGGATATGAAGAGGGAAACAAATCAAAATGTTTGTGTTCATATACAGCAACTGCACAAGGCTACTTCATGAAAGACTCGCTGTACATTGCTGATATGTTTTACAAAAATACCTCTGCAAAGGTGGAAATGGTCTATTTTGGGTGGACAAACCATACATGGAGATATTACATAACCGACATCAGATTAGCACAGCGTGTTGGCCAGGACACCTGATAAGGGCCCCAGAATCTGCTGTGTGGCCCCTGGATTAGTGGATATGTTGTTCATTCTCCTTAAAATAGTACAGTTGTATTTTAAGAACAGTGGCCTACTTGCATCCAAATATAACACATTGACACGTGGGGTCTTGTACACGAGGTCACATGGACCTTGCCTATATGCGCTCCAAGCTTTGTGAGAACTGAACCATGAGAATGCATATTGCCAGTTTACTAAAGTCTTCTGTCCCCGAAGGCTAAAACAAATGTTTCAGCACACAAAATGGCCGTTTGTAGGTGTCCTGAATATTGGTTCTCGCCAGCGGCTGGCCATGTGACCCCAGTATGTGCGGCCCCTACACGTCCAGCACACGAATAAGCACAGCCCAGTGTGTTGCTGGATTGATATGGGTCAGGTGTCACAGCTCGCTCTGTATATTCTTTTCTTCTTGTTTGGTGACCATTCTTGCAGTACTCGCTTCCTTTTCCCATTTTTGTATTTTCTTCCTCTTGGTTTCCTACATATATAAATCTATATATATTTTTCCCTGTAGGTTTTTATGTCAGAGCTCAGTCTGCAGCCTATCGCTGATCTAGCAGCAGTGGGAGGGAAGTGGAATGTGTCCCTTTTTGTTATGTTACATTTTGTCAGCACTTGAAGACAATGGAATAAAAGAATCATTGCTTTGGATCTTGGTGATTGTTATTGTGATCTGGGTCATGGAACTGCTGTGAATAATTCGACCAGGTTATTACCTCCTAGTATTCTGTACCAGGCTATATCCACACCTCATTATTAATATTATGTGCTAGTGAAGAATGTATATGTCCACATTTCAGATAAGGGGGTACAGCATTCAGAAAGCCACGTGAGACCACGGAACAAACACAATTCTGCTTTTCTAAATAAATGTTCTGGCCCAGCTCTGTTTAAGGGACCTATGCCATGGTGTTGGTCATGTGACTGCCAACAGAGTGCATTGTGGAACTGACCTGCGGCCGGCTTTTAAGAATTCCAGCTTTTGCAGAAAATAATAAACGCAGACGTCTTTTTAAAAGAAAAAAAAATTGCATTCATTATTTTTTGCATAGGAGCCAGCAAAGCATTGCAACCGCGATCAGTATATCATAAGTGCAATGCTCTGGCACCTGCAGACTGTCCCTCCCTCCCATGTCCGTACCGAGGGTTTAATGGGGGGTAAGTAGGTGATGAGACAGGGGTGTGCCCTTAGCTGATGAGCTGGGGGTGTGCCCATGATCACAGGGTGTAAGTACATGATGAGTTAGGGATGTGCCATGTAAGGGGGAGGTAAATAGGTGATGAGCTGGGGATGTGTCTGTGATCTTGGGGGTGTAAGGGGGATATAGGTAGGTGATGAGCTGGGGGTATGCCTGTGATTTTGTGGTGGTAAGCAAGTGATGAGCTGGAGATGTGCCTGTAAACTCAGGTTTAAGGGGGGGTAAGTAGGTGTTGAGCTGTGGGTGTACCCATGATCTTGGGGTGTAAGTGGGAGGTGATGAGCTGGGGTTGTGTCCATGATCTCGGGGTGTAAGGGGGAGGTAAGTAGGTGATGAGCTGGGGTTGTGTCCATGATCTCGGGGTGTAAGGGGAGGTAAGTAGGTGATGAGCTGGGGGTGTGTTTATGATCTCGGGGTGTAAGGGGGAAGTAAGTAGGTGATGAGCTGGGGGTGTCCATAATCTCGGGGTGTAAGGGGGAGGTAAGTACGTGTTGAGTTGGGGGTATACCCATGATCTCTGAGTGTAAGGGGAGGTAAGTAGGTGATGAGCTGGGGGTGTGCTGTTGGTGTCTGTGTTCTCATATTGCGGTGTCTAGGATCCAGAGGTGTTGTGGAATCTGGGGGCGGGGCCTTGTTTAGGCTTATTAAGTTATTCAATTCCAATAAGAGAATTATCACTCGATTTCATATAAAGTTGTGGGCGGCCTTCAGGTGCGAAAATAAAACATGTTTTACTAAGCCGCACTCTTACAATATATGACACACGTAGACATCTTTGTGATTTTTTTGGGGTCACCCGCATGAGGACCCTCATTTCCTGGACGACTTCCATCCCCCAACAGAACTGGACTGTCTCCTCGTGTGTGCCGTCACTTTTACTGGACAATTCGAGGTCAGATTTGCACTTCAGAAGACGGCAACTAGAAAATGGAGGAAGGTGGCTGCTGCACAGAGTGTCCGTTGGAAGTGTCTGGACGCATGGAGCGTCCGGTGGAAGTGTCTCGGATCTAATGACACTTTCTTACATTAGTTGAATCAATAAATCTGCTATTTATATTATAAACAACATCATTCTGCTAATCACGTGCACTAATTAATCATTGTGCTCAGTGCTTGCACTCATTTTCACAAGGGCATTCACCATTTAAAAATAAAAGGCAAAATAAACCAGAACAAGTTTTCCCAATTACTTTTTTTAAAAATGGTGAACATCCTCATGAAAATTAGTGAATACTCGTGAAAACCAGTCCTGGTTTATTTAACCATTTTTAAAAAGGCTGCAAATTAGTGAATAATCACAAAAACCAGTCCTGGTTTATTTAGCCTATTTTAAAATGGTGCATATTAGTGAATAATAGTGAAAACCAGGCCTGGTATATTTTGACTATTTTAAAAATGGTGCAAATTAGTAAACAATCGTTAAAACCAGTCCTCGTTTATTTAGTTGTGTTAAAAAAGGTGGAAATTAGCGAATATTAGTGAAAACCAGCCCTGGTGCATTTTGCCAATTTAAAAAATGGTGAAAATTAGTGAGTAATTGTGAAAACCTGTCCTGGTTATTTAACCGGTTGTAAAAAATGGTGAAAATTAGTGAATAATCATGAATCCAGGCCTGGTTTATGTTTTAAAGTGTGCAAATTTGTGAAAATCAATCCTGGTCTATTTGACCTATTTAAAAATGGTGAAAATTAGTGAATAATCGTGAAAACCAGTCAGTTTATTTTGTCTATTCTGAAAATAGTGAATAATAGTGGAAAACTGTCCTGGTTTATTTTGCCTATTTTAAAAATGGTGAAAATTAGTGAATAATCGGGAAAACCAGTCCTGGGTTATTATGCCTATGTTAAAAAAATGGTGAAAATTTGTGAATAATAGTGAAACCAATCCTGGTTTATTTAAGGTTTAAATTGTGCAAATTAGTGAAAATCAATCCTGGCCTATTTTAACAATGGTGAAAATTAGTGAATAATCGTGAAAACCAGCTAGGGTTTTAAAAATGGTGAATAAGCGTGAATCCAGTCACGGTTTATTTTGCCTATTTTAAAATGGTGAAAATGAGTGAATAATAGTGAAAACCAATACTGGTTTATGTAACCGTTTTAGAAATGGTGAAAATTAGTGAATAATCGTGAATACAGTCCTGGTTTATTTAAGGTTTAAATTGTGCAAATCAATCATGGTTTATTTTGCCTATTTTAAAAATGGTGAATAGTCGTGAAAACCAATCCAGGTTTATTTCGCAAATAAGTGAATAATAGTGAAAACAAGTCATGGTTTATTTTGCCTACTTTAAAAATGGTGAACACCCTCATGAAAAGTTGAATTAAACAGTCAATATAAACCAGGAAGTTTTTCACGATTATTCACAAGGGTATTCGCCATTTTTAAAATAGGCAACATAAACCATGACTGGTTTTCACTATTATTCACTAATTTGCACCATTTAAAAATGAAATAGACTGGTTTTCAAGATTACTTTTTCAAAATGGCGAACATCCTCATGCAAATTAATGATCGTGAAAACTAATCCTGGTTTATTTTTCCTTTTATAAAAAAATGGTGAACATCCTTGCGAAAATTTGTGCAAACACACCTGAGAACAATTACAGTGAATACAATGACACAAGTTATTCCCATGACCCTTTGGGGTGGGGGGAGGTCTCTCTAGGATTTTCTTTCCCCAGTAAAGACGAGTCGGCCCGGGTCATTTATTTTTGCCATAGAGAACATCCTTGTGCTCATCACTCCAATTAAATAATCATGGTGATCAGGTGCGTTTGTGCAGGACGTTCACCATTATTGAATAAGCCTAAAGAAACCCGGGACAGTTTTTTCACACGGGTGAAAGTTATTTTTACACCATTGGAGATTTGCTCGTTGAATGGTGACCATTCTTGCAGAAGTTGTTGAACGATTGTGAAATCCAGTCGTGTGTTATTCGGCCTTTTTCTCTGACGTGAACAGCTTTGTGTAGACAGCGACACGCGGTCCGGATCTCCAGCAGGAATTAGTGATATTAAGACAAGACGCGGCCGGGGGAGGGGCGTTGTGTCATCATGTGTAGGTTATATCACCAGCTTCCATACCCCGCAGTACAAAGTCCCTCCTCGTGTATTAGGCCTTGGTTGTGCAATGGTGAACATTGGGTGAATGTCACTGCGGAGGGTTGGGGTCCCCTTCAGAGTGCTCCCCCCTTACATTAGTGGTCCCCTTCAGAGTGCTCCCCCCTTACATTAGTGGTCTCCTTCAGAGTGCCCCCCCTTACATTAGTGGTCTCCTTCAGAGTGCCCCCCCTTACATTAGTGGTCCCCTTCAGAGTGCCCCCCCCTTACATTAGTAACATGTAAGGGATAACTCTGATGGGGACCACTAATGTTGGGGGGGGGGGAGCACTCTGAAGGGGACCACTAATGAATAGAGTGTTGCTATTAAAGTGGAACTTCAGGAATAGAAAAAAAAATTGTAACCCTAGCAGTGGAGCTCCCCCCACAGACACACTGCAAGGGTTAACTGCTCGTGTTGGTCTAGGGGGTGACAATTGAAAAGGTCCATTCTAGATGTGAGGACGCAAGGGGCATAACCACAGACGGAGCAGAGGGGTGAGCACTTACTGCCGGCAGGACCGAGGATCAGGCGAGTGTATCTTCTGTATTCTTGGCCCCTAGACCAAAATGAGCAGTTAACCCTTTGTTTTTTCCACACCAGAGTCCCCCGTACATGAAACTGTCCCCTTCAGAGTTCTTCCTTTCCTTTTCCTGAACAGGCAGGAGTTGGGAGGAGGAGCAGGCTTGGATAGAAGAAATGACCCTTCTGTTCTCCAGTGATCCTGGGGGCGGGGCAAGTATTTCATTGGTGTCATTGGTTGCTAGGATACCAACGCAGAGTACTAACCACTATCACTTTTACTTAGGAAAAAAACACAATACAAAACGCAAATTCAATTTAGAATTTTTTTCAGATTTTACTTTTTTTTTTATAAAAAAAAAAACAACAAAAAAAAAAACAATTTCCCAGAAAAATCTGCCAGTAGTCACACGAGATATAAACACCCATAAAAAGGTCAAGAACCCAAAACAATAGCTATAGGAAAAGCAATAGAAGGCAAAGCAGGGCGATGGGATGGTGACTGCGAGAAGTATGAAATCGATATATAAAAACGAATGTCAGATAAAGTACAGAATGGAAAGTGGCAGGTTGGGACGGTGCAGTATTATTTGTAGTCCAGTATGGAATACAACAATCTAGAAATGACTGAATCATATACAACGTATCCTAAGCTTCCTGTCTAACATGAGATTGAAATGTGCGGACAGGTCCGCCCACTAAAGAATGCGTCTCCTCAGCATATGGATGAGTTGGCCCCATAGGTCTGATCTCCAGCTTTCCCATCATGTGACTTAACCTGAGTATGTCTGTTTTTGGTTTGAAGGTCAATACCTCGGCAGTACCAGGAGGAGACATTGCTCCTTACTCCCAATCAGGAAGTACTGTAAGAGCCATGATTCCTTCTTAGGAGTGTCAGCCACCTTGGCTATACTCCAAGACACAAACCATTGAAGGTCTCTTCCCAGGACAATATTGTGGCAGTTTTTCCCCACATAAGGGCTGTGGGAGCTCACCCCCCCCCCCATGTGGCAGCAGAGAAGCTTTAAGAAATAAAAGAGGTTCTAAGTAGCAGGGAAGGATGTAGTAGAAGGTATGTGGTTTCTTCCAATTGTAACAGATCGGGGATGTTGTCGGAGGGGAATGGACTTCACATAGGTAATAGGTGGTCATCTCTTTCTTCTGGCTCCTCCCCGAGCTGATCATCTCCCACTCCGCGGTAAGCAGTTTCCGAGGAACGAGGCCGAGATCGGCACGCAAAGTCACAGCCATCCTGAGGGAAATGAAACATGCTAATGAATAAATCGGCTTCATTGCACCGCACCCTGGCAAAGGTCAATGTGGTAAACTGTGACCGAGATTAAGAACAGGCCTGAGCTCGGAATGTGGAGGAACTGCAAGTTGGCGGGAACAGTAAACACTTAACACATCGCTTCTTCCCCCAGTGAGGGAGTGACGCCGTAGGGACAGGCCAGTGTTCTCTCTGCTCTTTTGGTGGTGACAGGAGCTCTAGTGGGACATTGGCCTTATAGTTCACAGCAACTGGGGTGCAGCAGGTGGCTGAGGAACACGCTATGAGTACATGTTTATAAATGAGAGAACAGCAATATCTGTTGGCAACTGGTGTCTAATATAGGACATAGGCAATACATAGTCATCTTATTCACCCAAAAACTGTCATCTTATGCCTATGGGAGCCTTTAAGGAGGAGTGAGTATTGCCAGAAATTCTAAATGCTTGTTAAACCCCCCGGGGACACAGTGCACATTGCGCTTTGTCCCGCTCAGTAGTGATTGCCGAGCAGCATGGTCAGATATCTCGCCTCCCCACCTCTATCCGACCACACTACCAGACAGGAGACAGGATCTATTATTAGCTCTGCCTGACAGTGAACATAGGAGAGGGGTGCAAAGGTGAACATAGAGCCTTCTCTCTACTCTGCCACCTTCTTTGTAGTGACAAGAAAGACTGACCTTGGACCCTCCACCAGCTATTCAGGGGAGGAGGACTGCAGTCGTAGTGGTTGGCTTGTGTTGTTGGGAATGATGGTGTGCTAGAAATGAGTGGCGTCATTCACAAAAATACAAGCCCACTACAACACAAGCCACATGCTACACTTGTCCCAGAAAGACTAGTGAAGTATCCGCCTTGTGTTGTTGTGGAAGATGCTTCAAGCCCCCGATGTGTGTGAACTGTTCTCATACACAAGCCTTTCCCCTCATTGTACACAAACCTGCCTCACATTTACCATCACTGCTCCAGAAGTCAGCTTCCATCTACAAGAGATCATACTCACCGCTACCAGGTTGCCAAACTCTTGCCAAAAAGTGATATTAGGGAACTGCTCTATCCCTTTAGCGCCAACGACAAAGCGCTGATAAAGGAATCCACCGATGATGTAAACTGCAAGTATCACTGCAAACCTGAGAAAGGAGAAGTAGAAAGCATGAAATACTACAACTTACCCCCCCAATAGCATATCATGAACTGGCTGCCGATTAGTTTATATACTTTTAAGGTGTGTCATCGAGGTGAAGTAGGGCTGCAACAACTAATTGGTTAAATCGATAATAGTTGGCAACTATTCTCATTATCGGGACGGGGGAAGAGAGGGACGGGGGAAGAGAGGGACGGGGGAGAGAGGGAGATTGATTTTTTTAATGCAACTAATCGTTTAATCAAAAAAAATAATCAGGCAACTAATCAATTATGAAAAGAATTGTTAGCTGCAGCCCTAAGATGAAGCCAATTTACAATCCCATGTCATCTTTAACTTTTACAATGCTATAATACAGAACACTAGGGGCACACACGTACTTCAGGGGTCCGTGAACAGTTGTTCTCCCATTTTCCCTAGCTCGGTACTTACACAATGAGCAGAATGGAGCCCACACTGAGATGGGATTCCTCGGCCGGACAGGCAAGGCTACTGTCCATCTCGAACAGATAGAAGCAATCCTTCGACTTGTTTCTTTCCTCGTTAATTATCGTGAAGCCATCCTACAATGGGAGAGGACATACATTTACATTACACTCGCAGTTACTGAAGTGGCAGGTACACTACTATGGATTGTGATATTAGGAAATATATCCCTGTATGTATGTATGTATGTATGTATGTATGTATGTATGTATGTATGTATGTATGTATATATATATATATATATATTAGCCCTTTGTCGGGGGTTTCTGTATGCGTCACATTTCCTGGTACACTGAGCTGGTAAAAACAGGTTTGTGGTCAATCTGGAGACCATATCTGTATGATAACTCTCAGGAGACGTCCCCACCTTTTGTCTCTCCAAGAAGGACCGACCTTGAGGCAGTAATATACATGTGGGTGGTATGTAACCCTGACAGTCAAGCTCTGCACTGCCTTATGTATGTGTTCTTCATATAAAAAGTATGTATTCTTGCCCAATGCAATGGTCTCATCTGCCTGCGCTAAGGGTCCAATGACGGATTAGGCAAGCAGAGGACAAGAAGGGACCAAAGGACATAGGAAACAGTGAATGTAAATAACTTACAACAGAAATGATTTTAAAACAATAAAAACATAAAAAGCTATTGCAAGTATTAAATGAAGGCACCTAAACCTGCAGAAACTTCAGATCAGGCTGAATGCGTCGCCATGGTGACAGGCAAACCTCCAGCACTTCTTTATACTGCCAAAGCTTGCATGTTCCTTTCTGCCTCCTGCAAATGCCTATTGGACAATGAGCCAGCCGATCATAGTGATGGACCAATAGGGATGTGAGGGAACTTGTCACCAAGGCGACGACTACACCTGGAAGAGCCGGAGCTTTGCCTTTTAGAATTTACCGAAGTTTAGCAGCATCAGCTGAAATCCTGAAGGTACTGCCAGTGTTCTCCCCTATGTGCCCTTTCAGTCCGGCTTTTGCCCCAAACACTCCACTGAAACCGCCCTCCTAAAACTCACCAATGACCTAATAAATAGATTGTAAGCCCTCAGGGGCAGGACCCTCATTACCATTCTGTCTTGAATTGTATTGTAATGTCTTCCTTATATTGTAAAGCGCTGCACAAACTGTTGGCGCTATATAAATACTATGTAATAATAATAATAATAATAATAATAATGTGCCGGCACATTACACCAGTTTTCCTGTGTTTTATCCTATGGACATAGAATTGATGTCACCAGCACACCGTTATGAAGTGTCCAAAGATACGTGCGTTCATTGATGCATATTGTCTCTTATCAAGTGCAACGTTTGGGGGGCGCACAGGGTCCCACTTATCAGGCTTACAATGACCAAAGCCTTTTGAGTCTGATGAAGGGGACCCTAAGCGGCCCCAAAACGTTGCGCTTGATAATATGAATCAATCAACGCACGTATCTTTAGACACTTCTGGTGGGCACATCACTGGTGATATCACTTCTACGTTCCGATTCAAACGCCATCTGCGGTCTTTGCGAGCACCCATCTTGCTTTGAGGTATATTGTAAGGAGTGCAGAAGGAGATCCGTACACCTTTATCCTAGGGACAGAGTCACTTTAATGTGAGGGTTGAAGAGGACAGCTCCAGCCAACAAACCTAACCACCAAGTGCTACCAGTTTACAAACAGCCATTGTGTAATTGAACACATTGGCTTTGACCACCCATAAGATTGGCTAGTCAAGTTAAGCATTTCTTATTTAAACTACGATATTAATTCCGATCCTTTAATCATCACTGAAGAGCATACCCCCAGGGTGTTCTTGTTGCAGGATATCATGATCATCGCCTTCCTTGGTTCATGATCACAGTGGTTGTCGTACTTGTCTCCAGATTTGTAGAAGAGCATGATCCAATCCGCTGCCGCACAGACAAAAGAGAATGTTAAAGAAATACAGTATCTGCTCCCCAAACATAATCCGGATTTCTAAAGCCTAAGATTAAAAGGACATTAGGCTAGAAGAACCATACTTGCCCTTAAAAGAGAACTATGGGGGTAAGTGTTTTTCCCCATAGTTCTCTTAAGGGTCATGGGAGAACATATACTAGCGTCCTCCTGTGACCCAAAGCTCAGTATATCGCGGGCTATAGCTCGCGGTACACTGAGACCGCTGCAGCCAGACGGATCCCGACATTAGTGTCGAGATCCACACCCAGCTGCCCGATTAATAGCTGGCTCTGCCTATCTAGAGGCAGAGCCAGCTGTACCCGCCCCCTCCCCCATCCCCATCTCCAGTCAGCGCTGAAGGATCGGAGGGGGGAATCCCTGCGGTGAGTGACAGTCACTGCTCTCTGCAGGGAGATGGTCGAGAAGTGAGTGAGCGACGGTATGTGTGACAGTTTCATTGTCACGCGTCGGCTCGAACTATGAGAATGAGTGATTTTCACTCACCTCATATTACTCCTTTAACTCCTTCCTGACCAGACGTAATTGATGCCCAGACCCTGAATTCATTATACATTGGGTAACTTATAACTACGTGACTCTCTGCCTAAATAGTTTTTACATTTTCTAGAACAATCTAAGGCTTTTATTTGGAACACACACTTATTACTTAGACAAATGGACCAAAAAAAACCATAAAAAATCTATTGTATCATTTTTATTGTTAATATTGGAACTCTGCCATCAAACCAAGAAGCTTGCATGTGATTACTATGTCATAGCTGTAATAGTGACATGACCATGAGCCACCCTGAATAGTTCCTGATTGGTAATGCTGACCAATGCTGACAGCGTGACAGGTAGCAGTGGTCCCGTGTGCTATGCAAGCTGTCAAATGGGTAACGTAGATTAAAAGGAGAACTTAAGGCTTTTCCCCAAAGTTCTCCTTAGGGTAACGGGAGGACACAAACTAGCGTCCTCCCATCACCCTAGGCTCAGTATACCACGAGCTACAGCTCGCGGTATACTGAGACGCAGCAGTATACCGCGAGTTGCTGCTCGCGGTATACTAAGACGCTGAAGCGGATCCCGACAATTATGCTGACTGACAGCCTATCTAGAGGCAGAGCTAGCTGTACCCGCCCCCTCCCCGATCCGCCAGTCAGCGCTGGCGGATCGGAGAGGGGGGAATCCAGCCCCTCCCCTGTCACGGCAGAGAGCCGTGACAGGATCGAGAGGTGAGCGAACGCCGGTATGTGTTCGCTCACCTCCCGATCTACTAAGCCGACCTGTGACAGTCTCATTGTCACAGGTCGGCTAGAACTATGAGGTGAGTGGAAATCACTCATCTCATAGTTCTCCTTTAATGTTCCCCCATCATGTGGCATTGTGCTGAGGACCATTAATCTACCGATCAGTTGGGAGGAAGGGAACATTGCTGTGAAATCATTGATCTGCTGGGGATCTATTCTCTGACTTTAGATGGTGGCACATTGAAATGGATTGTTTTGTTTTATGAAGGGATCTCACAAGTGGCCCCAGACTAATAGGTCTGTGACAAACAGAAGACAATAGATGACAATGGAAAAAAAAAGGCCAGAGGGCAGAAATTACCAGGCTGAGCCTGCAGCCAACAATAAGAAACAGTTGTCATGGCTCTGATTGCATGACTTTGACTTGGTATAAATGATGGTCTTACTTCCATTGAGGATGTGGGTGTCATCGATGCGACCAATCACAGTGACCTCCGTTGAACCCACTTTGGATTGCACCAGTCCTGCATTTGGGCTTGTGCTGGCATTGACCCGGCCGCACACTACAAACGTATATTTGTAGGAATCGTCACCTTCTTGGATGGTGGCCTCAAACCTAGATGCAGCAAATGACATTTTGTTAAGAAGTGCCAGCAATTTCAATATATCACAAGTGAACCTGATATGGTCTGATAGATCAGGAATAAGAAAAGCCTATGGTGACTAGTCTAGGTACAGCTTTCATTCAATATGCACTGAAAAGGTGAAAAAGCATGAGCTTTACTTTTTTTTTTTAACTATCACTATAATCCACCAAGCAGGCCATGATAGAGTCTCCTTCATACTGGCCCTCATATTTTATGTCTTCCAACCCAGACTTTCATCACACAGGGGGGGCCACTCAACACAGAGACATGAATGGACTGCAGTGTATCCCAGGGCAGTGCATCCGAACATGTTTGAATGTCAAATAGCATTTCATGATGTTCCTCTGCCACTTACCCCGGAGATGTAGTGCCACCTGAAAAAGCTGCCATTGCGCAACTTGTACACAATGGCAGCACAATGCTTTTCGAATTGCTTTAACTGCAGACTGGCTTAAAAGACAACCCTCACCATAGACAAGGGATGGCCAAACTCCGGCCCTCTAACTGTGGCAAAACTACAAATCCCATGAAGCATCTCTCTCCGGGAGTCATGTCTGTGAGAATCTTGCAAAGCCTCATGGGATTCGTAGTTCCACTACAGCTGGAGGGCCGCAGTTTGGCCATCCCTGCCATAGATCATTAATTCTATTTTGAACAGAACGAAGGGGGAAGGAACAGACTAATTGCAAAATCAGAGCATCTTTAAAGTCATAGTGTACAGGACAGAGACGTTCCTTTAGTGATAAAAACCTCAAAGCACATGCTCCAGCCATCTGTCTGGTTCGAGAGGCTTCCATATTAAAGGCAATAAGGTCTACACATAACTGTGACTACATAGCAGACAGTGTGGGGAGGAGATCATCGCCCATATTTATGTGTGTTATTATAGGAACTGCATGGCTTACCTTACTACAGAACCTGACCTAAACTCTGCAGAAGATGCCAACTCTAGTGGCCCACTGCCTACATATCAGCTACGGTTACAACCCCAACTTCTAGACTGCGTGCGCGCGCACACACACACAATTTTGCAAAAGAAGGAAATAGTGGAGGGAGGAGACAATAGTCATCTATTCACATCTGCCATCTAGGGCACCCAATGGGCATGGACAGAGGAGAAGAAGCACAGGAAACATGTCCTCTTCTCCAGGCAGGAACAGTCTGCCAACAGCTTACACTATGTACAGATTTACCACATTGAGATCAGAGAAATGCCAACTCATACCGTATAACAACCATGTTGCTTACAGAAACTACTCCCCACATCAGGTTATGAAAGCTACAACTTGATAGCTTCCTTGGGGCACCACGGACACTACACACTGCCGTAGATGCCACCTAGGCATTTTCACATCAACTAGCCAATATTCCCGTATTATTACTTCTTAGTCTTCAATGGAGCCAATCTTTGGAGGAGAGCTTGTTCTGCTGCAGACTTCTTGTCTCCACCGGTCAGGACACAATCGTCCACAGGCTGGTCGGCTGCAAAGGCTGTGGCAGCAACTAGGCAGAGACACCACAATTGTGCGTACATCCTGTAAAACAAAAAAACATAGCAAACAGAAATCTACTTTTATAAGGAATAGTTAGTTGCCTGTAACCTCCTGGATCATGTGTCCGTGTCTGAATCACCAACTAATAATTTTATATATATA